GCTCTCACGCCGTTCCGTGCCTCTCCCTTGCCTCCCTCTCCCTCTCCCTCTCTCTACACTCCGTCTCCGATCCGCTCCTCTCTCCCTCTCCCTCTCCTCTCTCCCTCTCCCATTCCCTCTCCCTCTCCCTGCTCCCGCTCTCCCGCTCTCCTCTCCATCTCCCTCTCCATCTCCTCTCCTCTTCCCCTCTCTCCCCTCTCTCCCTCCACCTCTCTCTCTCTCCCTCTCCTCTCCTCTCTTTCTCTCTCCCCTCTCTCTCTCTCTCTCTCTCTCGTCTCTCTCTCTCTCTCTCTCTCTCTCGCTCTCTCTTCTCTCTCTCTCTGGCTCTCTCTCTCTCTCTCTCTCCTCTCTCTCTCTCTCTCTCTCTCTTCTCTCCCTCTCTCTCTCTCTCTCTCTCTCTCCTCTCTCTCTCTCTCTCTCCTTTCTCCTGCTCTCTCTCTCTCTCTCTCTCTCTTCTCTCTCTCTCCTCTTCTCCTCCATCCCCCCCCTCTCTCTCACTCTCCCTTCTCTCTCTTCCCTCTCCCTCTCCATCTCTCCCTCTCCCTCTCTCTCTCTCCCTCTCCCCTCTCTCTCCTCTCTCCCTCTCCTCTCCCTCCCCCTCCCTCCCTCTCTCTTCTCCCTCTCTCTCTCTTTCTCTCCTCCCTCTCTCTCTCTCTTCTCTCTCATCTCTTCTCTCTCTCTCTCCCTCTCTCTCTCTCTCTTTCTCCTCCCTCTCTCTCTCTCTCTCTCTCTCTCTCTCTCTCTCTCTCTCTCTCTCTCTCTCTCTCTCTCTCTCTCTCTCTCTCTCTCTCCTCTCTCTCTCTCTCTCTCTCTCTCTCTCTCTCTCTCTCTCCCTCTCCCTCTCTCCCCCTCTCCTCTCCTTCTCATCTCTCCTCTTCTCTCTCTCCCTCTCTCTCTATCTCTCTCTTTCTCTCTCTATCTCTCCTCTTCCTCTTTCCTCTTCTCGTTGGCTTCGTACACCGCTGGGAACTGTCGCCACACTTGTCATCGGCAGACGTTCGTCACGACCTGCCAGAAGGGGGGGGAAGAGGGGAGAAGGTGGGGAAGAGGGGAGAATTGGGAGGAAGAGGGGTAGAGGGGGAGGAAGAAAGGAGGTAGGAGGTGGAGGAGGGAGGAAGGAGGGAAGAGGGGTAGAGGGAGGAGGAGGGAGGAGGGAGAGGAAGGAGGAGGGAAGAGGGGGTAGAGGGAGGAGTGGAGAGAGGATGAAAGGAGGAGGGAGGAAGAAGGAGGAGGAGGGAGGGCGGTGGAAGGAGGAGGAGGAAAAAGAGAGGAGGAGGAGGGAGGGAGGGAAGAAGGGAGAAAAAGCGAGGAAGGAGGAGGTGGAGGGTGAAGGGAAGAGGAGGGAGGGAAAAGAGAGGAGGAGGAGGAGGGAGTGTAGGAAGGAGGAAGAGATAGTAATGAATGATGCAGAGGACTGGAGAAAAATTAGGGAGGATGGAATATGAGAAAGACAGAGATAGAATAAGATATGATAATACTTTTTATACTTTATATATATATACATGATATATGATATATATATATATATATATATATATATATATATATATATATATATATATATATATATATATATATATATATATATTATATATATGTGTGTGTGTGTGTGTGTGTGTGTGTGTGTGTGTGTGTGTGTGTGTGTGTGTGTGTGTGTGTATGTGTGTGTGTGTGTGTGTGTGTGTGTGTGTGTGTGTGTGTGTGTGTGTGTGTGTGTGTGCGTGTGTAATTAGATAGATATAGATATGGATAGATATACAATTATGGGGGGATTATATATACACATATGCGCACTTATACATAATTTATGGCACCCTGTACACTTAGACTAATGATTAGAAATAATTTTGCCGAGTCACTGGAGTAATTTGCATACGATTTCATCCATTCCACAGGTGTACCAAGATAAAGAAAAAAGAAAAACAAAAATAAGCTGAGTGAATTTTTAAGAATTAAAGCTAATGCGTTGAATGCATTTTGTGGCGGGGCGAACCGGGCTTGTGTGAATCTCGCCTACAAACGCACACAAAAAAGGTACACACGCTTTTATACCGATACATACAAGATAAATAAAAAGGTTACACATGCTTCTATACATACATAATAAAATAATTAAAAAGGTACACGATGTTTTATACATACATACTAAAAAAAAAATAAATAAAAAGGTACACACGCTTTTAACATACTACTTTTTATACAAGTACATATAAGTAAAAAAAGGTACACATGCATGCTATAAAAAGGTACATTGGTAAATAAAAAGGTTTATACAATTTTTAATAATAAATAAAATAACATGCTTTATATAATACATACTAAAATAAATAAAAAGGTACACATGCTTTTATACATACATAAAAAAAAAAAAGAAGGTACACATGCTTTTATACATACATACTAAAAATAAATAAAAAGGTAACATGCCTTATACATACATAATTGTACACATGCTTTTATACATACATATAATAAATAAAAAAAAGTACACATGCTTTTACATACACATTACATGATACATACGAAAAGGTACACATGCTTTTATACATACATAAATAAATTAAATAAAAATAAAAATAATAAAAAGTATTTTTTCTGTAATTGCTGAAGCGTCGTTGGATAAACTTGATGTGAGAAGGAAAACAGATTATTGATAGTTTAATTAATAAATATAATAATAAATAGAATAGAAAATTAAAATAAAAATATATGCTAGGGTTTTCTGTCTGTCTGGCTAGCTGGTTATTTGTCTGTCTATCTGGTCTCTCTGTTTGATAATAATAATAAAATAAAATAAAAAAAATAAAAAAATACGCTAGGGTTTTCTGTCTGTCTGGCTATTGTTCTGTCTATCTGTGTCTGTGTGTCTGTGTCTGTATGCTGTCTGACTGCTGCTGGCTGGTTATTCGTCTTTCTGTCTGTCTTGTTTGTTGTATCAAATTGTGAATATTTACTTAAACCCGTGTGTCTTTTTCTGTTTATATATTTATTGATATGAATGTACTTGTGAGATATGTCTTTTCAACAATCAAAATGTGATCTATTTATATTACCTCTCTCTTCGCTTCTATTCACCTTCTTTCCTTTTTCCGTCCCCTCTCTCTTTCCATCTCTTCCTTCCTTCCTTTTTCCCTTCCCTCCCTCCTTCCCTCCGTCCAGCCAGCTATCCCTCCTTTCCATCTCTCCATTCTTCCCCTCCTCCCTCCCTTCTTTCCTCATTCCTCCTTCCCTCCCTCCCTCCCTTCTTTTTCCCCTTGCCTCATTTTCCCACCTCTGTCCCTCCATCCATCCTTCCTCCCACCCTCCTTCTCCCTTCTCCCCCTCCTCTCACCCCTCCCTCCTCCCCTCCACCCCACCCCCTCATCTCCCTTCCTCCCACCCCTCCCTTCCCTCCCACCCTCCTCCCTCCTCCCCCTCTCCTCATCTCCCTCCTCCTCCCCCCTCCCCCCTCCCTCCTCCCCTCCCTCTCCCTCCTCCCTCCCTATCTCCAAGAACATGAATAACATAACCTTAAGCTTACATGAACGAAAACTGACAAATATCTGACACATTCCTAAGAAGATATGGTCCACGTGGTTCCTTATGTGTCAGCACAAGTCAGCTGATCGTGCTGACAGAGCTGCGTCTCCCTGAATCAGCAAAGATGCTACACGTGACAGGAGATAAGACAGGTGCAAATGATTAATAAAACAAAACAAAAAAAGAAAAGAAAGAGAGAAAGGAAAAGAGAAATTGTGATTTTTATTTTTTTCTTCGGGATTAATTCGTTATCCTTTTTATTTATCTTTATTATCTTCTCCCGTCACCTCTTTTTCCTACTTTTTCAATTATTGTTTTTTCTTTTCTTTTCTTTCTTTTTGTTTTATTTTGATTCATGTTTTTTGTTTGTCAATCTTTCGGTTTATCTTATTTATTTTTATTTTTTAAGGGGATTTTATCATTTAGTCTTTATTACAATTCTTATTATCTTGAAATACGTCTTGGAAATTAAATAAGGAAGAGCGAATAATGATGGTAGTGACAATAATGATAATAGTAATGATAATTATAAAAAAATGATATCATTATTGTCACTGCTATCAATATAATTACTATCATTACTATTATTGTCATTATGATTTTTAATAGTAGTAGTACTATCATTATTATCATTATCATTATTATGATAACAACGATAATGATAAAAGTAATATCAACAATAATGATGATAATGATAATAGCAAAAATAATAACAATAATAATAATGATAATAATGATAGTAATAATAATGATAATAATAATGTAATGATAATAATGATAATAATAATAATAATAATAATAATAATAATAATTAATAAATAATAATAATAATATAATAAATAAATAATATATAATAATAATAATGATGATAATGATGATGATAAATGATAATAATAATGATAATAAAGATATGATGATAATAATTGTGAAAATAATAACAATGATAAAGATAATGATAGTAATGCTAATGAAAATAATAACAATTATCATCATTTCAATTATTATTATCATTATCATCATCATTATTACTATCATTACCATTATTATAATAATATCAATAATAATAATAATGATAATGAGGATAATAAGCATGATGATGATGATGATGATAGTAATAATAATAATAATAATAATGTAATTGTAAATAATAATGATAAAATAATATAATAATGATGAAATAATGATAACAATAATAACAATAACAATAAAAATAATAATAATGATAACAATAGTAATGAAAAATTATGATGAGAGAAATAATAATGATAATAATGAAACAATAGTGACAATAATGATAATGATAATAGTAATAATGATAAGAAGAAAGAAGGGGGAAAAAATCAGAAAAACAACAGTGAGAACAAAGAAGAAGAGTAATAAAAACAACGAAGAAAGAGGAGAAGGAATAGAAGAGAGAGAGAGAGAGAGAGAGAGAGAGAGAGAGAGAGAGAGAGAGAGAGAGAGAGAGAGAGAGAGAGAGAGAGAGAGAGAGAGAGAGAGAGAGAGAGAGAGAGAGAGAGAGAGAGAGAGAGAGAGAGAGAGAGAGAGAGAGAGAGAGAGAGAGAGACGAGAGAGAAGAGAGAAAAGAGAGAGAGAGAAAGAGAGAGAAACAGACAGAGCGAGAGAAAAAAGAGAGAGAGAGAGACAGAGAGAAACAGACAGAGAAAGAGAAAGAGAGAGATAAAGAGAGAGAGAGAAACAGACAGATTGAGAGGAAAAGAGAGAGAGAGAGAGACAGAGAGAAACAGACAGAGAAGAGAAAAGAGAGAGAGAGAGAAAACAGACAGAGAAAGAGAGCGAGAGAGAGAGAGAGAGAGAGACAGAGAGAGAGCGAGAGAGAGAGAGAGAGAGAGAGATGGTGTCGGGAGAATAAACATGAAAAGAAATTATCGTACATTTTTCTTTTTCGTCCCAAGAATTCTGTCCCTTTTCCAAAATCTTTTTCCATTCAGTATTTGTTACAGAAAAAACAGCTGAATACGAGTGGAGATATAGACGAATAAAATTCAAATTTCTATCAACCTTTCATTCGCGAGCATCAGAAGAAAGGGATTGGATTCCTTAAACCTGAGTTTGGATCCTATACATGTTATTCCAACTTCATTTTCTACGTTGACGAGAAACATCCATTTTAATTCCAAAATGTTACGCTCTGATGACGTAAAAAGAACGAGAGAGAAAAATTAGATAGAAAGAGATAAAAAGGGAGAGAGAGAGGAGGGAGAGAGAGATAGATAGATAGATAAAGACAATGAGAGAGAGAGAGACAAAGAGAGAGAGAGAGCGAGAGAAAGAGAGAGAGAGAAGAGAGAGAGAGAAAGAGAGAGAAGAGAGAGAAAGAAAAAGAGACAAAGAGAGACAGAGAGAAAGTTAGAAAAGAGAAAGAGAGGAGAGAAAGAGAGAGACAGAATGAGAAACTAAAAGACAAGACCTGAAACACAGCAAACCAAACAAAACACCACATACCACAATACCCCGCATCCCAAACCACATTCCTAATCACAAACCAACCACAAACCAACCACAGTTCCACCACAAACCACACACTCCGACCTCCGACAAACAACACCTCACGGA